TTCACATAGCTGCTCACGTGATCCGCTTACTATCGCCGAATCAGAGGATACGATTCGGTTCCTGAAAGATGAAGTGTCCTTATTTTCTAACTAAGTTGTATCTCCCACTAATTCATCATGATTAACAATTTAAAAAGCCATTATTGGCTGGGGACTCAATCTCACACTCGAGATAAAGCGTCCATATCTACAATCTGAGCGACATCTATACCTTCGACTATTTATTCTAAAATCACTTTATACTGGCCTTTAGGCCAAAATAATGTAGAGCCAAAACAATATTAATAATGTCGTAGAGTTTCTGAAGACTTTTGCCGTGAACGAAGTCGTTCCTGAGACATGCCACCGCATCCGACGTCTATTCAGTAAAATACTCTATGATTCGCACATTAATGTAGACCATGGTATTACCGATATTTATGTTATTGTTTTGCAAATAAAAATAAAACTCACCGATCATAAGAAGCGGAAAGGCTGCGCGACATTAGTGTTGGTATTTTTGTAGCCTTTGGTGTGGAAGTACCAGGCAAAACGGAAACAGCGAGTCGACTTCGAGTAGCAGAAGAACAACGTCTGAATTCAGAACGATAGAGAACTTTCACCTTATTCTTTAAAGTCGATGCCAATTCAAGAACTATTGATCGAATCGATTTGCCAGTTCTATTTCACCTAAAGAAGAACAGGATGAAAGGATTGTTTAGAATCAACATTGGACACTCGTATGTATAATCAGCCACATAGAAGACGCTGAATATGGCAACGTTGCTTACCGATTAACGGCACATTCGGTCATATCGATTGCTGATCGATCCATACAATGAACATTTTTATACAAAGAATCGTTCATTCGGCGAGCTGCGGAGTCATCTTCAAACATCGACGACGTCATCGATGTACTGGTCTGCAAGGTCACCTCTTTCAGATTTTGAAAACTTCACTTCCAATACTATTCACAATTTGCTAAGTGATGAGGGGTATTGTTTTCCTTTTATTTTCCGTTCAATCTACTAACCTACTACACCCACTTAACGCTGACTTTATTTCAAAATTGGTGTATGGAGGTACTGTAACTTATTCGAATGAAACAGTTCAAGTGAAAACGAAACTCATTCACTTTAGGGGTCGACATACTAGTACACCCACACCCATATCCCTTGCTCCCGCGTGATGGTACGCTATATAAAAAAAAGTACAGGAAACGTGAGCATTCAAACATCACATAATTCCATATAAGAGCCAAAGGCGATGGCACCCCAACTTACATATAAAAACCAATTTTTGCCTTTTTCTTGTTCTCAGTATGGAACTGAATCCATGTGAGACAGTGTGTGGGAGTGTTTGCTACTGCGGAAAAAGTCACCAGATTGGAAAACCTTAGCCCTAGTTTGCCGATGAAGATACTCAACAAGTGGGATTAGAACAGGTGTTGATGGTTGCCTCTTAGCATAGGTAACAAACGTCATTGGTAAACTGCGGTTATGGAGATACGAGAAAAACGTCTCGCCTTTCATGAGGGAAACTAAATGGAAGTTACAATTCTCGTTTCCGGCTTTTCAATTTTCTACAAACCAATTTTATCCCATTGAGTAGATTAGGATATAAAAATTCTACCTTGCTGAGGTAGTCGGCACAGATTCCTTCAGATTCAGAAGATTCTGAAGAGATTGATGTGCATGGAAGTGGACTGTATTGAGCAGTTGGCTGAAAATAGACGATCTGACGAAAGCGATTCCCAACCACATTTCAATTCACAGATGAGAATCGTAGCTATCATACCTTTACACCTAAGCGGAATGCCTCTACGACATCAACAGAAGGAGGTGAGGAGTGGGGAATGAAGTGAGTTGGAGGTGTGAATTTGACGAGATACGGTATTTTAGATGGGACCGAAGACGCTATTTCCCGACGAGACCGCGTGCTTTTGGATAAAGCACAGCTGGAGGCGCGGGGCTGACGGATTTGACAAGAGCGTTGCGGGCGAGTCCGTTTTTTGAGCGAGTCCTGAAATTGAACTGAACGTGAGTGCTACTAAAAAATCAATAAATCAATATCTAACCTCATGTCTGT